TAAACTAAAAATATCTTCTGAAGTCTTCTTAAAACCAAACAATAGTTCGGCTTAACTAGTAAAAGCAGAACAAGGAGTTACTGAATGGTTTAAAATCCAAAAAGGTGTGCATTAGGGTTGTATAATTTCACATGTGTGCTCAGCAAATAATCTGAAAAGATGGATTATATGAAGAAGAACATGGCATCAGAATTGCAGAAAGACTCATTAACAACCTTTGCTAAGTAGATGACACTACCCTGTTGCTGAAAGTGAAGAGGACTTAAAATACTTACTGATGAAGATCAATGACTACAACCTCCAGTATGGCTTGCACCTTAATGTAAAGGAAAGAATCCAACGAGACCAATAAACAACATCACGATAAATGGAGAAAAGACTAAAGTTGTCAAAGACTTTGCTTTGCTTGGATCCACAAACAGTACTGATGGAAACAGCAATCAAGAAATCAAATGACATATTGCATTAGGCAAATCTGCTGCAAAAGATGCCTTTAAACTGTTAAAGAGCAAAGATGTCAGTCTGAGGGCTAAGGTGTGGTACCCAAGCCATGGTATTTTCAATAGCTACATATGCATGTGAAAGGTGGACAATGAGTAAAAAATACCATAGAAGAATTGATTCATTTGAGTTATGGTGTTGGAGAAGAATATTAAAAGTACCATGGACTGCCTGGAGAACAACCCAGATCTGTGTTGGAAGAAGCACAGCCAGAGTGCTCCTTAGAAGCCGGGATGGCAAGACTTCATCTCTTGCGTTTCTGATATATTATCAGGAGGGACCAGTTCCTGGAGAAGGACATCATGCTTGGTAAAGTGGAGGGTCAACAAAAAAGAGGAACACCTCCAATGAGATGGATTGACACAATGGCAGCAGCATTGGACTCAAATAAAACAGCTGAGAGGACGGCTCAGTGTTTCCTTCTGTTGTGCATAGGTTCCTCTAAGAGTTAGAACTGATTCAATGGCACCTAACAACAGCAATCATAAGAAAGTTTCTCCTTGAGAATTATGTTCCTTTAATAACTGCCTGTATGGGATCAAACTGGCTAACAGTAACTTCAAAGGTTAGGTAGGAGCCTTAGCAGGCAGTGAGTTTATTGTGTTCATAGGGAGGAACAACTCAGGAAAGGAGGTTGAGAATCATTAGATAACCTGAAGAATATAATGAATGTCACATGTACATGTAGATATTATTGAGTTGGTGTATATTTGGCTGTGTATAGTCTCAACACAACAAAATAAATAATATTCCAAGAAAAAAACCTTATAATAATACTGTGAGATAAGATCTTTTGTTCCCAATTTAAGACAACTGAGGCCCCAGGAGGTTAAATGCTTGTCTACGGAAACACCCTAGGAAGGGGCAGGTCGAGAGAGCAGATCACTGAACTTCTATTCCTCACCTTACATTGCTTTTCTTTGTGCTTTTCTGCCCAGGCTTTAACAATGGACACGTGTTGCTTTCACAATCATGAAAATGCCTTACACCCATATATATATATACAAGGAGCTCTGGTAGTGTAGTGGTTACGAGTCGGACTGCTAATCTCAAGGTAAGAAGTTCGAAACTACTAGTTGTTACATGGGAGAAAGATGAGGCTTTATGCTCCCATAAAGATTTACAGCTCGGAAAACTTATGCAGGGTCACTATGAGTCAGAACTGACTCCACGACACACAATCACCACCACCACAACACATACACAGTGGTCTGGCAGAGGATATTTCTATATATGTATTTACATGTGCTGTAAACTTATCCATGTATATAGTAGATCATGTGAGGCTATTGAAAATATCATTCTTGGGTCAGGAACACCTTAGTTCTCAAACTGCCCTCTTTGCTCTTAAACACTTTAAAGAAGTCTTGTGCAGCAGATTTGCCCAATGCAATAAGTCGTTTAATTTCATGACTGCTGCTTCCATTAGCGTTGATGGTTGATCCAGGCAAAATGAAGTCATTGACAACTTCAATCTTTTCTCCATTTATATGGATGTTATTTATTGGTCCAGGGGTGAGGATTTTTGTTTTCTTTACATTGAGATGCAACCCATGCTGAAGGCTGTGATCTTTGATCTTCATCAATAAACATTCCAAGTCCTCTTGGTTTTCAGCAAGCAAGGTTGTATCATCTGCATATCGCAGATTGTTAATGAGCTGTTCCCCAATCCTGATGCCACATTTTTCTTCATATAATCCAGTTTCTCTGATTATTTGTCCAGCACACAGATTGAATAAGTATGGTGAAACCCTGGCACACACCTTTCCTAATTTTAAACTGTTCAGTTTAAAACTTTTTTCTGTTCCAACAACTGCCTCTTGGTCCATGTACAGGTTCCTCATGAAGTATTTTGGAATACTCATACTTTGTAATAATCTCATATGCCTGCGAAAGTTGGACAATGAATAAGGAAGACCATAGAAGAATTGATGCATTTGAGTTATGGTGTTGGAGGAGAATATTAAAAGTACCATGAACTGCCAAAAGAACAAACAGATCTGTGTTGGAAGAAGTACAGCCAGAATGCCCCATAGAAGCCAGGATGGACGGCCTTCGTCTCTCATACTTCAAATATATCATCAGGAGGAAGTACAATCAGAGTGCTCCTTGGAAGCCAGAATGGTCAGACTTCGCCTTTCATACTTCAAACATATTGTCAGGAGGGACCAGTCATTGGAGAAGGGTATCATATTTGGTGAAGTGGAGGGTTGGAGAAAAAGAGGAAGACCCTCAACAAGATGGATTGGCACAGTAGCAGCATTATGAGACTCAAACATAGTAACGATTGTGAGGTTGGCCCAGGACCGGGCAGTGTTTCATTCTGTTGTGCATAAGGTTGCTATGAGTCAGTACCTACTCAATGGCACCTAATAGCAACCACCACAACAATAGATCCTACAGTGGGGTCAAAGTATTAAAACATCTTAGTCATAATCAAACACATTAAGAGAATGAGTCACTGGGCCTGGACACTGAGGAGCATAGTCTTGGAAGACGTCAAGCAAGGTAAACCTTGGTCCACATAGCATAGTCCACAAAGATAATGTTCTACATCCTACTTTGTTCTTGTTGTTGAGCACATCGAGCCAGCTCCACCTCATAGCGACACTATATAGGGTTTCCAAGAAGTGGTTGGTGGGTTTGATCTGCCAACCTTGTGGTGCACAGTCCAGTGTTGATCCTACAGCACCACAACAGGAGAGTCTGTGACTGACCATCTAAGGAGTAACTATTGGTCTCTTCTGATCTGAAGCAAAGAAGAGTGAAAAGAATCAAAGATACACAGAAACAATTCGTCCCAAGGAGTGATGGAGCATGCAGGCTTCAGCCTCCACAGCTCTGAGACCAGAAGAACTAGATAGTGCCCGCTACTGCTGCCCACCACTCGGAAAGAGGTCACAATCAGAGGAGCTGGCCATAATGGGAGAGAAATGTGGAACAAAACTCAAAAACATAAGAAGACCAGACTTACTGGTCAGATAGAGCCTATGATCCTTAGACACCCTTCAAGTCTGGCCTTACCCGTGTGACTCAACTTTCAGCCAGACATCAGACAGGGGGACAAAAACACTAGGGAGGGATGTACTCCTTAGAACAACCAACCATAGGAGAACAAAAGGGCGGCACTTATCGAGGGACAAAGCTCAGAAGGTGGAAAGAAGAAGAAATAGGAACAGTAAACACAGGGAGGAAGTAGAAAAAGTGATGTTACAATGTGAGGATTGCAATCAATGTCACGAAAGAAAATGTGTGGGAATTGTTGAATGGGAAACTAATTTGCTCTGTAAACGTTCACCCAAACTATAGTAAAAAGTTTTAAAAAAAGAAAAAAAAAGTCCTATAAGTTAATGATTTAAATATATATATGTAATCCTTTAAATATATATATATATTCTCCCATCCCTCCTCTGCCCCATCCTGGTAGACCCTGTCTTGCTGCCCCCACCCCTACATTAGCTTGGCTGGGGTAGAATATCCATTACTCTAGCCTTGCTGAGGTCTGTTCAAAATGTCCCCGGCCCCTGGGGTAATGCGTGGCAGTGATTTCGGGGGCGGGGGAGGAGGGAGGGGGAGACTGGGTGCAGGAGGGGGGCAGGCCCTGAGAAGGGGAAAGGGAAGTGGGAAGGGATGTGAAACTTGGCCACAGCCAGCACCACTCCTGCAGAGTGTCCCACAGGGGTCCCAGTAGGCAAGAGGGCCTGGGTGGAGGGTGTCAGCAGACAGTTGGAGTGGACGTTGCTGACCAGAGGCAGGTGAGACCAGGGACTGAAAGGAAATGGGCAGTGAGGTTCAGGAGCAGGGAAACTGGCTCAGATGGGCAACTGAGGCAGTGAGGAAGGGAAGGAGAGAGGCCAACTTGAGCTGGTTCATGCCAATACAGGGAGGGGGCGGGACACTGCCTCAGGACCCAGAATGGGAGACTGGGGGGACCTTAACCCCTGGACTCAGAGCTTTGGCCATTCTAGCCAGAATTCCAGGATCCTGGCCCCTCCAAACCCAAGAAACTAGGAGCGAGCTGGGTACATGTGAGCCCAGCAGAGGGGTCACATGAGAGGGTGCTAAAAGGGGTCAAGGGTGCAGGTGGGTAGGGAGTGTGTGAATTCCTGTGTGCTCATAGACGGTTCTATCAATCAGTGGATGTTCATTAAGTAAGAACAGATGCTCAGTAACTATGTGTTCAATAGGATCGCTCCCTTGTAGAAATGTATGAGTGTGGTGCTGGTGCGTGAGGAGGGAGTCTGTCCTGGTGTCTGTTAGTGTGTCCAGGGGCAGGGAGGGAAGTGTGAGAAGTCATGTAAGTGTGCCTGAGCGTGCTTAGTGGTGTGTGTGCATCCGTGTGAACCTGTGGTTCTGTGTGCATGTGTCAGCTAGACACACCTGTACCCTGGTGGAGGTATGTAACCTGTCCTTTTGGGTATGGAAGTCACGTGAGTGAGGTGGTGCAAGTGGTTATGTGATGCCTGCCGGGCCCCACCCCGTGTTTCCACAGTGCCATCATGGAGACTTCCAGGGACTGGCTGATGGTCTGTGTGCTGGCCGTGTCCTTGGCTTCCACGGTGACCCAGGACGTGTGCCGAGCACCAGATGGGAAGGATGGGGCTGCAGGAATCCCTGGTCGACCTGGGCGACCAGGCCTTAAGGGGGAACGAGGGGAGCCAGGTAAGCACCTCCCTTGGACTCCAACCCCTCAGGCCCTGGCTGGGCCGAGCCTTCAGGGAGTAAGGTTTGGGAGCTGCTCTACGAAACAGGGGCTACCTGTGTTCCCACACAAAGCCCCTCCAGTTTGTACATAGTACCCAGTGTTGAAGGGAGCCTAGACTTCACCCTGGACCATACTCCAGGCCTTCAGGCCCCTCCACATCCCCCTTAATGTCTGAGTCCTCTTTCTGTGGGCCCCCCTTCCTCCTCTGGAGGATAAGTCCTTCTGAACAATGAATGCAAAAGGCCCAGAAGCAGTATCAAGTCCTTGATAGTGGTTTGCTTAATAGAACAATTAAGATCCCAGAATTTAGACCCCTGCATTACTGTGTGATCTTAAGCAAGTTACTGACCCTCTCTGAGCCTCAATTTCTTCACCTGTAAAACAGAGAAATAAATAACCTCTATGGTAGCGTAGTGGTTACGAATCGGGCTGCAAACCTCAAGGCAGTTCAAAACTACCAGCCATTCCACGGGAGAAAGATGAGGCTTTCTGCTCCCGTAAAGATTTACAGCCTCGGAAACCCTGTACAGGGTCACTATGAGTCGGAACCGACTCCACGGAACATAACAACAACAACAACATGCGTTACATTGGGCAAATCTGCTGCATGGCCATCTCTCATACTTCAGACATAGTAACAGGAGGGACCAGTCAGTGGAGAAGGATATCATGTTTGGTAAACTGGAGGGTCAAGGAAAAAGAGGAAGACCCGTAATGAGATAGATTGGCACAGTGGCAGCCGCGATGGGCTCAGGCATAGCAATGATTGTGAGGTTGGCCCTGGATCTGGCAATGTTTCGTTCTAGTGTTCATAGGGTCTCGGTGAACCAGTACTGACTCAATGGCATCTAACAACAACAACACAGTATTTACAATAACAACACCTGGCACATACAATAAGCACTGGACTGTGAACCATAAGGTCCACAGTTCGAGCCTGCCAGCCACTTTGTAGGAGAAAGATAAGGCTCTCTGCTCCCACAAAGATTTAAAGCGTCAGAGATCCTTAACAACAACCTAGCACATAGAGAGAGAGAGGCATCGATTAACTGCAACTTTCCTCTTTGGTCCTCTCTAGCACCCCCTCCATTCCTTCCCTGCTTGCCCCTCCCCAGTCCCTTCTGGCTTCAGACCCTCTCAAGTTCTAGTAAGAAAAAAACAGCTAGGGGTGGAGCTAAAGGGAAGTGAGTGGTCACACTGCGGAAGGAAAATCTCCAGCCCCAGAGCAGACCAGAAGGACATTTACAACCTGGGCATCCTGCCTGTGGTCTCTGAACCTGAAGTTGGCCAGTAAGCAGGAGTATGGGGAGCATGCCAGCTGGCAGGTGGAGTAGCTGAACACTTTCATTCCTATGTCTGTCCCTTCCTCTCCACTTTGCATTTGGAAGCCGAGGTTCAGAGGCGCTAGAGACTTTCCCAAGGTCACACAACCAAACAGAATCCATGTCTTAGAGGCCCGGCCTCCCTCCCCTTACTCCCTTCCACCAGGGTCCTGCCCTTCCCCTGAGAATTATTGAACACTGGGCTCTCACTCCAACGGTCCTCTCTCCCTGCAGGGGCTGCTGGTATCCGGACGGGCATCCGAGGCCTCAAAGGAGACCAGGGAGATCCCGGAACCCCTGGAAAAGCTGGTAACATGGGTTCCCCAGGCCCTAGTGGCCCCCTGGGGGCTTCTGGGCTCCCAGGACTGAAGGGCATCAAGGGCAACCCAGGAAACCTCAAAGACCAGCCTCGACCAGCCTTCTCGGCAATGAGGAAGAACCCTCCAATGGGTGGCAATGTGGTCATCTTCGACACGGTCATCACCAACCAGGAGGGCCCATACAAGAACCACTCAGGCCGGTTCGTCTGTGCTATACCTGGTTACTACTACTTCACCTTCCAGGTGGTCTCCAAGTGGGACATCTGCCTGTTCATTGTGTCCTCCACAAGAGCTCAGGTCCGGCGCTCCCTAGGCTTCTGTGACACCAACAGCAAGGGGCTCTTCCAGGTGGTCTCGGGGGGCACGGTGCTCCAGCTTCAGCATGGGGACCAGGTCTGGATTGAGAAAGACCCCGTCAAGGGCCGCATTTACCAGGGCCCCGAGGCGGACAGCGTCTTCAGTGGCTTCCTCATCTTCCCATCCACCTGAGCCAGGAAGGACATTGGCTTCATCTGCTCTATGCTGTGTGACCCTGGGCCACTCATTCCACCTCTCTGAGCTCCTATGCTCTGTTCTGTAAAACAGGGGAACTGTTTGCTTTTGCTGTCTGAAGGGTCAGGGATGGTTTGGAGGCCCGTAGGACTTGCTGCCCCACTGTGTCCTCCACATAGGAGATCTTGGAACGCTTCCTAGAATAAATACTCGAGTCTGTGTCTGCTGAGTATAAGGTTTAGTTCTTACTCTGGGCATTGGGCAGGAGGAGGCTAGCACCAGTTGACTCCAAATCATGGTGACCCCATAGGTGTCAGAGTAAAACTGCCTCTATAGGGCTTTCAATGACTGATTTTTCAGAAGTCTATTGCCAGACCTTTCTTCAGAGGTGCCTCTGAGTGGGCTCAAGCTTCCAACCTTTGGATTAGCAGTATATTAACCCCTTTCACCACCCAGGCACTCCGGGAGACTTAGAATAACAATCATTGTTGAGTGCTTAACAGGTAACTTTGTTTAGTGTTTTGCTTCATGTAATTGGCAGGTCCTGGAACCTTATCTGCCAAGGTTCTGGGCTCAAATCCTAACTCCACCACTTAGTTGTCCAGCCATGTGTATGTTACATAACTTCTGTGCATCTCAATTTCCTCATAGAGTGAGAATATTAAGGACACTTTCTTCAAAGTGTTCTTGGGAAGATTCCATGACAACATGTAAAATTTTCAGACAGTGCCTGATTCATAGTAAGGATTGTGTAAGTTTCAGCTATCGTATGTTTAATCTTTACAATCAAGCTCTGCAGTGGATATTACGACCCTATTTTACATAGTAGCTAGGATAGGTAGGTAAAGCCAAGGTCACTGTCCAATCAGAGGGGCTGAGGTCTCAATCCAATCTCACTAATCACCATGTCTGCAGGTTTCATCACCAGTTTTACAAACCTCCGTAACTGTATAATCTTTCCCAACCTTGTACCTCAGGGGAAGGACCAGAGAGGGGAAGCAATTTGTCCAAAGACATCCAGCAGTCCTCCCAGCTTCCACTCTGGCTGGCTTGAGGGGTGGAGCCATTACCTGGACTGCCTGCTGGGCATCCTGGGATTGGGAATGAGGGAGATCTTGAGTTCTCGGGGTACATTCCCAGGCCCCCACTCACCCCATCTGGGAGCTGCTCAGAGGTGAGAAGTTCCACCATATCCTTTACATGTGGGGAAAATATAGGGGACCGGAACATGCCTGCTACTGCATGTATGTTTTCAGAGGGTCTCCATCATCCCTGTGCTGCACATACACAGATTCACATGGATATGCACACACAAGTGTATAGATGAGCAACAAACACACACATGCACAACTGTATGCACACAGAAACAACACATCTGGAGGTGCACAAGAACCCACACTCCTGGACCCAGTCTCACCCACTAATAGAAACTCAGGCCCACGCAGCCCCTCCTCAAGCTCACATCCACTCCTTTAGACCCGCACACACATCCCCTCAGAGATACAAATTAGGTATGCCTTCAAAGCCACACACAGACACACTCCCAGGTGCACATCTGGCACACCCACACACCACCAGCCTCAGACATCCAGGTAATACCTGTAAACTACCAGCATTGCTCAAGGCATGTGTCAAGACCCTACCCCACACCCCAGACATCAGCTATGAGCATCCCCGTCACCTTCCACCACGCACCTGCCTCAGTAATGTCTATGTTCTCGCTCCATAGCTGCTCCCAGTCCACAGAGCCACCCCGGCACTGTGTCTCCCATCCATTAGCCATCACACAAACAGCTGCAGAATCATCACACATGTGCCCCCTCTCCCTTAGGTGTATGCATGCCCAAGAACTCTGGATAGGGCATCACCTAGGGCAAGATCCTGTCTCTGGCTGCCCTGTCCTGCCTGCCAACAATCTTCAGGGGTCAGTTAGGAGTGAAAGAGGTGTTATTCAGGAAAGAGAGAAAACCCTCCACAACTCAGAGGGTTGCTGCTTTCCTCAGAGTCCCCATCTCCCTTCAGACCTCAGCTCTCTGGACTAACCCATCCCTTACCCACACAGAGTACACAGATCCAACTGGAAACAGGAAACATCGGTTTGAGTACCTACTATATGCTGGACACACCACAGCATGAATGCTGCTAATCCCAGCAAAGTGATGAGGGAACCATCTACCCATCCATCCAAGTTCACACGGCAGTATTTGAACTGCCTGACCCCATAGAGGGGCTTCTTTCATTGCCATGGGACTCAGAGGCAGGCCAGGCTAGAGCCTGGAAAAGTGGCTGGAGAGGCCAGATTAGAGAAATGTAGGGTACAGGAGTTCCATGATGCATCTGCACCCTGCTCCACCCATGCCTGCTTTCCCCCACCTAAATCACAGGCTGGGGGAGCCTCTCAGGCAAACTCCTGGCTCTCTAGCAGGAGGGGAAGAGTTTGAGCTGGGATACAGGTGGGGCCAGGATGAGGCTGAGCACGGATTGAGGCTGCCACCTGCTGGCCAAGAATGGTACAGTCCAGCAAGCAGGACTCTGGAAAGGATGCTGTTGTTATTCTGTGGTCCTCCACCACCGGGGGGTCTCGGGAACTCACCCACATTCTCTGCAGCCCTGTGCCCCAGGTGGGGGAGGATGCAGAGCCCCCTGGCACTGATGGAGAGACGGAGGCCCTGAGAAGTCACTCAGTGAGGCAGGAGCAGGCCTCTGAATCCCTGCCCAGGTCCGGCACAGGGTTGAAATGGTCCATGTGTGGTGCACTGAACCCTTGCCTCAGCCCTGAACACCAGCCAGTGGAATCACCCCCACTTAAAGAGGGGACCCTGCCACTCAGGGAAGTCATGCAGGAGACACAGTGGGGTCCAGACTGGAACCTCTACGGCCCCACACCCTCTTCACCTCCAAATCTCTGAGTGGTGGAGACCTCTCTCAGTTCTGCCAGCCTGGCCCCCACTGGCAGCCCCTCACCAGCCACAATGGTTACAAGAACAGAGACAGGCAGACCTCAGAAAAGGTAGATCATCAGGGGTTTCCCATCATGGGCCCCAACAAAGAGAGAGGTACCAGTACTCAAAGCCTGGGGTCTCCAATATACAGATAGGAAGACTGAGGCCCAGAGGCCTAGGGCAAGGGAGTGGTGGGACTGGAAAGAGAACCCAAGACCAGGGCAGTCTGTTCTCCACATCTACTGCCTGCCCTCAAAGTTGGCCCATCCTGGGTGTCCACCCTTAAGCATGGCAAATGGGCCTGACAAAAGAGGTACCTAGAATAGGCTCAGCCATGTGACAAGTGCATGCAAGACTTGTTTGGGGTCCCCTGAACAGAGGGGCAAGCAAGGCTCTGGATCTCAAGGAACTGCTCACTTATGTGACTTTTGGGTTTTCACCTCCCTGAGCCTCCATTTTCTTTTATGTAAAAGGGACTGTTACAATTTCCTCCTAGGGCATCTCTGGCATAGTGGTCATTAGATGGACTGAACTTGACTCTGAGGAAAGTCTCTGCCCAGAAAGCTCATTATGTCTTGACACCCACTTCCCACCCTGAGTCAGATGTCAGGGCCCTGGATACTTCCACATTTCATGCCCTCATGACCAGGGCAGGGAGTGTCCCTGTGATCAGTCTGGCTCAGCACCCAGAGGAAAGTGTCAAGTCGGGAGAAATCATGGGAAAGGGGATGTGGGACTTGGGGGAGGGGAGGGCTCAGGTCAATTGGGGGCTGTGGCCTCCCAGCACGGTGTCCAGCTGCAGGGACAAGGGAAGCAGGTCTGAGGACAGCTCCGTGAGCAGGCCAGAAACCTCCCATCCAGGTGAGCCCAGGACCCTGCCCAGGTGAGAACAGAGGGCTCTTCTGTCCCTGTGCCCCTCGCTAAACTGTGGCCCTGAGGAAGGATCCTCATCTCCTACTGGACCCGGGGTCTGGGCTCAAAGATGAGGTTTCTCCACTCCCAAGGAGGGAGGGAGGAGGCTCTGGAGCTCAAAAGGCCAATCCTAGTGGTGAGGAAGATGAAGGGCTGGGAGGGCAGCCAACTCCCCACTCTGTTCTCCCTCCACTCACCTCCTTTTCCAGGACAGATATGGGGCCTTGCTCTCGGCCTCCCCTCAGCCTAAGTCTGCTGCTGCTCCTGTTGGCACTGCCACTCAGGGGCCATACCAGCACAACCTGCTACGGGATCCCAGGGATGCCAGGCCTGCCAGGTGCCCCAGGAAAGGACGGTCATGATGGGTTGCAGGGGCCCAAGGGTGAACCAGGTGAGTGCTGGTCAGGGGGCCAGGGCTGAGGTGATCTTCCTGGGGAAAACCTGATGTTCTGAGCACCCTGTCCTCAGAACCTATTCTCAGAAGTGGCCTTGGGCTCCATTCACCTCTCTGATCCTGCGGTTCCTCATCCGATCCTAGGGCGAGAATAAGGGCTCCTGCCCAAAGGAGGCTGGGGGGGTCACAGGAGATAATGCACACGAAAGCCTTTGGTGGACTCCAAAGTGCTCCCTTCCTGTTTTATTCCATCTGTGCTCCCTCTACTGCCTGTCTTCCACACGGGCATCTAGAAGTAAGGTGGAATTCACACAGTGATTATATTCAATGTGCAGACCCACCACTTCCCAGTCATATGAACTTGCACAAGTTACTAAACTGTGTTGTACCTCTGTTCCCTCATCTATAAAATGGGGAGATAGCAGAACCGTCTTCACAGGGGTGTTCTGAGGATTAAAGAAATTTACATCAAAACTGACATGCAATTTAAGGATCTGGTAGGACGATATAAGTGGGGGTGAGAAGTCAGGATCACACTCACAGAGTCTTCTGGTAGACATTCACAGGCATGAGAGAAGGGGACTAGGAATATGAAAAGGTGGCTAGGGGCATGGGGAGAGACTAAGGAGGAGTGCATGCCTGGGATGCCAAATGTGCCGGGAGCAGGCACTGGTGAGACTAGGGTGCGGTCAGGATGGGTGACATAGCATTCTCTCTATTTGTTAAATGAGAGCACTCCTTTAAAGATGGGAGATTTGTTCTCATTTTACAAACTCAAACCATTGGAATCAGTCTCAGTCCTGCCCAACTCCAATGACTCTGTAGAAGAAGCACTGGTTGGTAATTCAAGTCCACTGGCTGCTCTGTGGGAGAAAGATGAGGCTTTCTGTTCCTGCAGATGGTAGGAGAGAGGAGGCCAGTGGAGAAGACTCACTTTAGGAATTTCTCCACCATCATCTTCCCTTCAGCGATGGAGTGGAATGTTGCCAGCATTCCAGAAGGAATGCTCCAATTCCAGGTGAGCTCCAATTCCCCTCCCCCCCCCACACACACACACCTTAAGGAGGCTCCCAGCTTTGCCATCTTCCAGGACCCTGTACTCCTCCTGCGTCTGGCTATCTTCCTACCCAGAGTGGCTGATGGCCACGACTCACAGAACTTCTACTATGTGCCAGGCACTGTTCCAAATGCTCTGTTCATGCTTACCTCGTGGGGGAGATAGCATTCTCTCTATATTAAGACATTAGTTGTGGTGTTGGAGGAGAATACTGAAAGTGCCATGGACTGCCAAAAGAACCAATGGATCTGTTTTGGAAGAAGTGCAGCCAGAGTGCTCCTTGGAGGCCAGGATGGCTAAGCTTTGTCTCTCCTACTTTGGACATATTGTCCGGAAGAAACAATCGTTGGAGAAGGATGTCATGCTGGGTAGGGTGGAGGGTCAGAGAAAAAGAGGAAGACCCCCAAAGAGATGGATCAGCCAGGTGGCATCATTGATGGACTCAAGTGTGGCAGCGGTAGTGAGGTTGGCCCAGGATCGGACATTGTTTCGTTCTGCTGTGCATGGGGTCGTTATGAGTCGGTTCCGACTCGATGGCACCTGACAACAACAACAACAACAAGGACGGGCCACCTCCCTCTCAGCATCCCTGGCAGCGATCCTAAAGGAGGCTGACAGCGTGAGCACCCATTGCGGCGTCCTACACAAGCTCAGGGCATGGGTGCACCTTTTCACCCTTCCTGCGGCAGCTGAAGATCAGTTCATCTATTGTGCTGTGGTCTCCGTGGAGCACAGAGGTACAGGGAGACACGTAGCTGGTCCACAGCCCTAAACCCAAGCCTCACTGACTCACTGCAGAGGTTTGGGGAGTTGGAAGGGGGTGTCATCTATATCGGTGCACAGGCTCCTTATCACTGTGGAAGCTCAAAGAAGAAAAGAACCAGCCGGGGCTGCTGGGAAGTCAGGGAGACTTCCTGGAAGAGGGAAACTTCTGCCAGGCTTTAATAGATGGGCATGGTATGGATAGGAGTTCCTGGGTGGTGCAAAGAGGCCAGCATTCAGTTACTAGTTCAGTTGATAGTTCAAGTCCAACAAGAGGCACCTTGGAAGAAAGACCTGGCAAACTTCTTCTAAAAAATCAGCCATTGAAAACCCTATGGAGCACAAGTCCAATCTGACTCACATGGATCACCGTGAGTCAGAATAGACTCAACAGCTACTGGTTTATGAACTGGACAAAGGGAGAAGATTTTCCACAGAGGCCTACATGGGCATCACTGTTGCCAGAATCAAGACTTAATATGAGTTCTGACTGCACTTGTACCTATCTTTGTTTCCTCATCTGTAAGATGTGGGAATTGATGGGGAGCTACTACAGGGCTGAGGGAGTATGGTGGCTCTGTAGAATAAGTACTGGTCAGGGAACCACCAGGTCAGCAATCCAAGTCCACTGGCTGCTCTGTGGGAGAAAGATGAGGCTTTCTGCTCTTGCAAAGATTTAGAACCTCCTGCAAAGATTTAGACCCTACAGGGCCTCTAGGAGTCAGAACTGACTCAATGGCACTTAACAACAACAACACCACGGGGCTGAGGTGGGCTGAGTGGGGTGGGGGCGGTCTCCACTTGACTTTGGCTGATGTTTTGCCCAGTGTGGCCTGATTTTAGGAATAGACACAGCTTCTGAGGGGCTCCGAAGCTTATAAAAGGCTGAGGCTCAGTCTCTTTAAGAAAAATAATACAAAAGTATAAATATATTTGACTGTGGTGATAATTACATAAATTCACACACGTGACAAGATGGCAAAAAGCTCCACACACACAGGTGCATGTAAACCTGGTGAAATCTGAGTAAGAACAGTGGATTGGATCAATGTCTTGTTCCCAGTTTTGATGTTGTTATTGGGTTTAGGGGTGGGTCTTTTGGAACATTTGATTGTTATAATGTCTTGATATGACACTTTAGTTACGTAAGATGTACCATTGGGGAAACTAGGTAAAAGGTACATGTAACTTCTCCAAACATTTTATTTTGTGCAACTTCCTGTGCATCTACAAGTATTTCAAAATAAGTCATTAAAAAAACATCATAAATAAGAAATTAGGCAAAGGACCTTGAAGAGGTCAATCCAAATAAGGAGACCTGAAGCTCAAACTTCATGAGCTTCCCAGGAAATCTACTTCTAACTAATCTCAAGACTGTATTAACACTGACAAAGTGGCCATTTAAAAAATTTTTAATGTTGGACTCTGATTTTTTTTTAAAAAAAGAAAAGCATTGTGCAGACCAACCAACCACGAGGTGTCTGCAGGCCCCAAGTCCTCTGACAGTCCTGCTCTCCCTTGTAAGTGTGGAAACTGAGGACTGGAAACACGGAAACGCCTTCACTAAGGTCACAGGGCAGGTCTGGGAAGGCAAGGTCTCCCTCCCTGCACAGTGCCCCCAGGTAGATATTCCATCTGAAGGAAGGAGCTTCCAGAGCTCAAACACTGTTGGTGTGTTCCCTGAAAACACCCCTAGGTGTTTTCACAGGAACTAGTTACTGTTCCTGACCCCATTACCTGCTCTCTTCACAGGAATGCCAGCTATCCCCGGGACACGAGGACCCAAGGGCCAGAAGGGAGAACCAGGAATACCTGGCCATCCTGGGAAAAATGGCCCCATGGGGGCCGCTGGGATTCCAGGGATTCCAGGCATTGCAGGCCTCCCTGGAGAGCCAGGTGAGGAGGGAAGATACAAGCAGAAGCATCAGTCCGTATTCACAGTGACCCGGCAGACAAGCCAGTTCCCAGCACCTAACAGCCTGGTCAAGTTCAACAACGTCGTTACCAACCCGCAGGGGCATTACAACACCAACACGGGCAAGTTCACCTGCCAAGTCCCCGGCCTCTACTACTTTGTGTATCACACGTCCCAGACAGCCAACCTGTGTGTGCACCTGTACTGTAACGATGTCAAGGTGACCACCTTCTGCGATCACATGTCCAACAGCAAGCAGGTCAGCTCAGGTGGCGTGCTGTTGAAGCTGCAGGTGGGCGAAGAGGTGTGGCTGGCCGTTAATGACTACAATGGTATGGTGGGTACCGAGGGCTCCGACAGTGTCTTCTCAGGCTTCCTGCTTTTCCCTGACTAAGCAGGCAGCCCTGCCACCCTCAGTGTCCCCGCACAGGCCACCCAGATCTTGCCAGTCTCTGCGTCTTCCTCCAGGAAGTCTGCCTTGACTGCTCCAGCCGTTGGGTTCTCTCCCTTCCTCTGAGTGCCCTCAGGAGTCATTGCTTATACATTCCTTTGATGCCTAACCAACACCTTCTGGTACTGTTTTTTTCTTTTCATTTTACCCCAAGTCTCGGAAGAGGCAGGGAAATACATAAATAAATCATTGAATGAATCCTTACTGCCAGTCACTTGATGCAGTTGCTCCATTTCCTTGGCTTCAATTTTGCACCTGTGTGGCACTGTGGGTTAATGCGCCAGACTGCAAAGCCGTTTGAACTGCAAGGTCTGTGGTTCAAGCTCACCAGCTGCTCCTCGGAAACCCTATACAGGGTCACTATGGGTCAGAATCGACTCAACAGCACTTAACAACAACAACATGGGAGTCCTGGTGTGGTGCTGCAGGTTAATGCACAAGACTGCAAAGTTGGTTTGAACTGTAAGGTTGGCAATACAAGCTCACCAGCTGCTCCTCAGAAAACTATACAGGGTCCTGACGAGTCAGAACCAACTTGACAGCACTTACCAACAATGGGTGTCTGCGGGCCCTAGACCCAGACAAGACATATAGTTGGTGCTCAATAGAGGCTAGCTGCCAATGCATTCAGCACCCTCTGGCCTGGTGGTAGGGAGATACCCAGATGGGGATGTTGTTGTTGTTAAGTGCTGTGGAGTCGGTTCCGACTCGTAGCGACCCTGTACAGGGTTTCTGAGGCTATAAATCTTTATGGGAGCAGAATGTCCCTTGTCTTTCTTCTGTGGAACAGCTGGTAGTTTCGAACTGCTGACCTTGCGGTTCACAGCCCGATTCGTAACCACTACGCTACCAGATGGGGATAGAGACCATCAAAATCTCCCAAGGGGCTGTATGTTGTTGCTTGTTTGGGTATCTACACTCACAGGTAAAGGAGAGCGTGTTTGAATTCCCAGGTGTACAATGAATTTTAGGAGCACTTTGGTGCAAACTGTTAATATGCTCACTGCTACCCAAATGTTCATAGTTCAAGTCCATCCAAAGGCACCAGAGGAGTAAGGCCTGGAGACTGACTTCAGAAAACCAGCCATTGGAAACCCAGACTAGAGCACAGTTCTACCCTGACACACATGAGGTGGCCATGAGTCAGAAGGTTGACACAGAAGGATTTCAGGCTCAGGTAAGCCCAGTGAGGCCAAAGACTAAATGGGCAATGAATTTGGGCTGAGTGAATTAATGACTGAGTGAAAAATAAATCAATGAGTGAATTAAAAACACAATAGCTAGCATTTACTGAGCACCTACTATGCACCAAGCATTATGTTACACATACACCTGTTAACTCTTTTCATAGTTGCAGCCAACCTCTGAGATGGGAAAGAGTGGGTGAGGGAAAGAATGTTAGAATCTTCTTCCCAAAAGCCTGACCCAGACTCTGAAACCCATGGAAAGGCCACCAAGTTTGATCATGAACATCCCAACATTGTCCCTACCACCATGCTCCTTGTGGGAGGATCAAGTGGCACCCTGGGCACCAGAGGGAGCTGGCATTGAGTTGTAAAAAGAGAAGCATAACTCTCCTGTGTGGATGTTAGAACCCAGCCCCAGCCTGCTGGAATCCCCAGCAAGGCTTCAGATTGGTGTCCATAACATAAGAATCATTGTTAAAATGCAGATTCTGATTCAGTATATCGTGATGCAAATGCCAAATCTCAGCAGAAGGTTGACCCAGAATGAATTGGTTTGAAACTGTGACTCTCTTTCCAGGAGGTCCAATGGTACTCACAGGGACATGATATTGACTAAAGGTGTGTGGACTCCAGTTGGGTTCAGTTACCTTCATCCCTCTCATTCCTTTGTCTTTGAAAAGGGCTGCTCCCATGCCTTTGCCTCTGATGTCCCTTCATCCTATAGTGCACCCTCTGGCCTGCCCACACATCCATCTGGTTCATGCTCACTCAACTTTCACGACTCAGTTCCAAGACCACCTCCTCCAGGAGGTCTTCCCTGGTTCTTCCCTTTTGCCTGTCCCCAGAGTACCCTCCACAGACTTGGCTCACAATCCAAGTGAAGACACTTCAGAACTTGGGTTACTAAATTTGATGATGCAGCAAATTTACCTGTGGGTTTATTTGATAACAAACAAAAGACAGACTCCTGGAGCCCAAGGAGTCTTATAAAGATTTGGGGGAGACTGGACTGTAGGTGAGTGAGGAAATCTGATGCACAGGGTCTACCTTGTGTACTTATTGTCTTCCCCACTGGACTGTGAACATCTTTGAAGATGGAACCACTTCTGATACACCTCTGTCTCCTTAGCTATTTTTAGGCTGCCTGGCACATAGTACACATAAACAATAGACCGTGTAAGATGGGAAGGAAGGAAGAGAGATAGAAACTTACACACCATAGAGAACAAGTGGGCAGAAGGGTCAGGTGATTCACGGAATCCGGGCCCCTCTAGCAGAGACAGGTCCTCCATTCATGATTCTCTCTTCATCAACCACTTAGCAGTCGGCCTGGCAATGCCGCAAGTGATACATCTTTCTTCTCATCTCTCCTTTGTTTACAAAATCAATGCACGGTTCATGTGGGTCACAGTGTCAGATCAGAAACCAGTACTTTGGAAGTGATGATTTTAGTGCCATTTTTATTTTCCATAATTGTTTTCTTGTTGTTCCCCCAAGTCAGGAGAGACTCCTTTTAATAGACCAACTCCTCTGCACTGAGAGGAGCCAGGAGAGTTTTTAAGGGGGGCAGGCAGGCAGAGGCATCCTCCCTTGGAGACTAGAAGGAGGTGGTGGGGTGGAGCAGGAGAAACCACATAAGAATCCCTTTCAGACCGTAGAGACTTGAAGGGTTTTAGATACTTTCCTTTCCTGTTGAGTCAGTTCTGCCTCATAGCGACCCTATCCAGGATTTACAAGAAGCAGCTGGTGGATTTGAACTATCTTGCTTGCAGACCATCCACCTATCTGGAAGCGATGTCACGGATATTTTAAATACCATCAGGGTCACCCAGAGTGGGCAGGTTTCAGCTGAGCTTCCAGATGAAGACAGACAAGAAAGAAGGAAAGGCAGACTACTTCTGAATATTTAGTCACTGAAAACGTTATGAAAAGCAGAGAAACACTGTCAGTACTAGAATATTAAATATTGAAACATGATGCAGAGCGCCAGAATATTGTCAGATTAGTGCCGGAAGATGAGCCCCTCAGGTTGGAAGGCACTCAAAATATGACTGGAGAAGCGTTACCTCCTCAAAGTAGAGTTGACCACAATGACACCAATGGAGTAAAGCACTGGGACCTTCATCTGCTGATGGGGCACAACTCAAAATGAAGAGAAACAGCTGTAAATATCCATTAATAATTGGAACATGGGATGTGCTAAGTATGAATGTAGAAAATTGGAAATTGTCAAAAATTAAATTTAATGCATAAATGTCGATATCCGAGGCATTAGTAAGTTGAGGACTGATATTGGCTATTTTGAATCTGACAATCAAATAGTTTACTATGCCAGGAATGACAAATTGAAGAAGAGTGGCATTGCTTTTATCATCAAAAAGAGCATTTCAAGATCTGTTTTGAAATATAACACTGTCTGTGATAGGATAATATACATACGCCTATAAGGAAGACCAGTTACTACAACTATTATTCAGATTTATGCACCAACCACTAAAGTCAGTGACGATGAAATTGAAGAATTCTACCAACTTCTTCAGTATGAAATTGATCAAACATGCAATCAAGACGTATTGATTGTTACTGGAGATTGGAATGCAAAGGTTAGAAACAAAGAGGAAGGATCAGTAGTTGGAAAGTGTGGCCTTGGTGATCTAGAATTTTGCAAGACCAATGACTTCTACATTGAAAATACCTTTATAAAACAACATAAAAGATATACATGGACCTCACCGGATGGCATACACAGAAATCAAACTGACTACATCTGTGGAAAGAGATGGTGAAACAGCTCCATATCATCAGTCTAAGGGCCAAAACAAGTCTAGGGGCATACTATGGAACAGACCGTCAATTGCTCATATGCAAGTTCAGGCTGAAGCTGAAGAAAATTAAAACAAGTCCATGAGAGCCAAAATATGACCTTGAACATATCCCACCTGATATCAAAAACAGACTTGATGTATTAGTCACTAAATATCAAAGACTGGAAGAGTTGCGGGATGACATCAATAACATCATACAGGAAGACAACAAAAGGTCTTTAAGGAGGAAAAGACCAAAATGGATGTCAGAAGAAACTCTGAAACTTGCTTTCCAGCATAGAGATGCTAAAGCAAATGGAAGAAATGAGGAGGTGAAAGAGCTGAATAGAAATTTTCAAAAGGCATCTCAAAAAGACAGAATCAATTATACTGAAATTTGCAAAGACCTGGAGTTAGAGAATTAATAGGGAAATAATAACACGCTCAGCATTTCTCAAGCTGAGGAAACTGGAGAAAAAAATGCAATCCTCAATTTTCAATATTGACGGATTCTATGGGCAAAATATTGTATGATGCAGAAAGCATCCAAATAAGATGAAAAGTCACTGTGCCAAAAAGAAATGGTCATGTTAAACCATTTCAAGAGATAGCAGTTGATCAAGAGCCAATAACACTGAAGGAAGAAGTCCAAGGTGGATTGAAGGCATTGGCAAAGAACAAGGCACCAGGAATAGATGGAATACAAATTGAAATCTTTCAATAAACTGATACAGCACTGGAGGCACTCACTCACCTATGCCAAGAAACTTAGAAGACAACTACTTGGCCAAATAATTAGAAGAGATCTATATTTGTGCCTGTTCCAAAGAGAGGTGACCCAATGGAATGTGGAAGTCATCGGACAATATCATTATGTATACAAGTAAAATTTTTCTAAAGATCATTCAAGAACGGCTGCAACCATGCATTAACAGAGAACTTCCAGAGGTTCAAGCCAGATTCAGAAGAGGACGTGGAGCGAGGGATATTATTGCTGATGTCAGATAGATCTTGACTGAAATCAGAGAGTACCAGAAAGATGTTTATCTGTACTTTATTGACTATGCAAAGGCTTTCTATTATGTGGGTCATGACAAGCTATGGATGACATTGCAAAGTTTCTGGAACACTTAAAGTATTTCAGAACACTTAATTATGCTCACAAAGAACCTGTAACATAGACCAAGAGGCAGTTATTTGAACAGAACAAGAGAACACTGGTTTCAAATTAGGAAAGGTGTGCACCAGAGTTATATTCTTTCACCATATTTATTCAATCTGTATGCTGAACACATAATTCGAGAGGCTGGTTTATATGAAGACAAATGTGGCATCAGGATTGGAGGAAGACTCATCAACAACCTGTGATATACAGATGATACAACCTTGCTTGCTGAAAGCAAAGAGGACTTAAAATACTGATGAAGATCAAAGACCATAGCCTTCAGTATTGGTTGCAACTCAATGTAAAGAAAACAAAAATTCTCACTATTGGACCAATAAACAACATCCATATAAATGGAGAAAAGATTGAAGTTGTTGAAGTCTTCATTGTTTTTAAATTGTGAATTGAGTGATAGTTTACATGGAAGAACATCAGCTTTACACCATCGTTTCATTGCAATGATTACAATCTTCTCCATGCATCATCATTCAACAGAATTTTGCTTGGATCAACCATCAACACTCATGGAATCAGCAGTCAAGAAATCAAACAACGTATTGCAACTGCTGCACAAGACCTCTTTAAAATGTTGAAGAGCAAGGATGTCAGTTAAGGACTAAGGTGCACCTGACCCAAGCCATGGTATCTTCAGTAATCTCATATGCATAGGACAGTTGAACAATGAACAGCGAATAAGGAAGATCGTAGAAGAATTGGTGCATTTGAGTTCTGGTGTTGGAGGAGAATATTGAAATACCATGGATTGCCAAAAGAACAAATAGATCTGTGTTGGAAGAAATACAGTCAGAGTGCTTCTCAGAAGCCAAGATGGCCAGACTTCATCTCTCATTCTTTGGACATATTATCTGGATGGACCAGTCACTGGAGAAGGACATCATGTTTGGTAAAGTGGAGGGTCGGAGAAAAAGAGGAAGACCCCCAATGAGATGGATTAGCACAGTGGCAGCATTAATGGGCTCAGGCATAGTAACGATTGTGGGGTTGGCACAGGACCAGGCAGTGTTTTGTTCTGTTGTTCATAGGGTCTGTATGAGTCGTTACCAAATAGATGGCACCTAACAACAACAACAAAAGCAAAATTTTGCAATGCTATGTAAGTCAGCAATTTTTTGTATATAGTGTCCAACTGGCTCCCACTCAGGGGTCCAGGCCCAGAGACCTCTCAACTCCTGATGCCTAAATCCTGGACTTCCCCTAATTCAAGCGTGGCTTTTTTCTCCCAGACTCCCAAGAATGTTGTCTTCTCTTGGTGTAAATTATACTGTTCCTAAGTAAACATGGGTACACAGCTGAGTCCTGAACATGCAGGATTATCTCACTGGAGTATGCGAACAACTCCAGGTGCTCCTGATTTACATATGAGAAGGACTCCTGATGTGGTCCTGAAGGATCACCACTGGACTGTAAACCACAATGTTGCCTGTTCAAACCCATCAGGAAACCCTATACAGAGGCGCTATGAGTCAGAACCCACTCGATGGCACTCCACAACAACAACAAACTGAGCTCATAAGTGTGTTTACTCCACATGGCTAGAAAGAGGCAGTGCTTGTAGTCATACGTAGCCGTCACTGGTGCCTCAATCCATGGTCTTTCTGCTGGTTCCAGAAATCTGAATGGTTCAAACAGTTAAGCACTCAACAACTAGCTGAAACATTGGTGGTTTGAATCTGACCAGTGGAACCTTAGAAGGTAGGCTGAGTGATCTGCTTCCAAAAGAATGTTAGCCTTGAAAACTCTATGGTGCAGCTCTACTCTGCATTCATGGGTCACCACGAGTTGGGATCAACTCAACAGCAACTACCGACAACTACTCCTTCCTGTTCTTAACCTCACTCTGTCTCTACCCTAAATTCAAGCTCATCTGTTCCCATTGCACTCAGACACCAAGAAACTGAGGCGAGGCCAAAGCGGCCGCTGGAACTCTCAGATCATTATGCAATCAACTAACTCCCTCTCCCTGCTCAGAATCCACCATCTTTTTACTTCCTTATAGCCTGGGTCCCTTTGAGTCTATCATTTGTCTGAGCTCTGAGACCCTCTAGTTTCATCAAATTGGCCTTCCTTCCCTATCACCCACTGCATTCAACCGCTCATTTCATCAATTCATCCACAGTTTACTGATTTTCTCTCCAAATACAGATGTCAAGTGGGCTCCCCTGACCTAAGGGACACCACTCTGCCTTAGATACAGTTGTAGTAGGGAGGCTGGCATCCTGGTAGGAGATGCCAGGGAGCCCTGCTCTTCTGAGAACCTGACCTCTTGAGACATTTCTTACAGTAGCAATGACAGCATGTGCCACAGATGTTTCACCCCAGTCTCTTCCAGTAAGAGATGCTCCATGGAGACACGAACCATGGCTGACTGACTTAGAACTCTCTCCAGTTCCCAGCACCCAAGGACTCACTACAGATACTCATTGAAGGGTGACTTTCTCCTTTCTAGGCCTCAGTTTCCCCATATATAAAATGAGGGTGATGGGCTGGGTGACCTCCAGCCCCTCTCCAGCCCTGACTTCACGTGATCCCAGAATCACCAAGCAGCAGGCCCGTTCCTGGGCTTGGTATTGTCATCAGCTCTAAGCCTTACTGGACACAGAGGAAGAGGCATAAATAAATAATGACCACATGTAAAATTCATTATGGATTATTTTCTGAGAATAGGGAAATAGCAGGCATGCAGAATGGAAAGGAAGCAGAAGAGATAAGTCCCAAAAGGGGAAGCCTGGGACAAGAAGTGATATTAGTGATTAACGTGTGTACAGCTCTTCACAATTTGGCCCAAGCTTTCTCCTCCCATCTAAGCCTCCCAGTGCCCCATGAGGTCTGCAGAGTAGGTGTGACTACAGTCCCATTATATAGAGTTCAGTGGAAAAGCCAGAACTCAAATCAACTCTGACTCCAAACCGAGTGCTCAGGCACCAGGATGGTCACATGATCATTCCATGACATGACCGTCCTGTGCCCTGCAGCAGACCATGAGGTTAGAGGACCTTAGTGGGTTAAGCATCCCCAGGACATCCTGTTCTCCCCACAGCTGCTGAGTTGGCGAAACCAAGGATAGCAGCCACCCAGGTCACTTACAGTCAACCCCTCTGGTTGCAGAAATGGGATCTGAAAGTGTCTGAGGGAAGCCAGATGGGGTTGACTGGGAGGGGGCCTGAAAGGGGAAGGCCCTTCCCGCTGTCTCTGGGGAATGGAATTTCTGCTTGGGACTAAGAGCTGCAGGCTCCTGGCTCCTGACCCCACTGCTGCTCAGCTCTGCAGAATCACAGTACACCGGGTCCCCAGGTAGGATGGGCCACAGTGCCTACGGGTCTGGTCAGCAATATGGCGGAGGGTGTTGATTCTCAACACAAACCCTGGGATGTTTGTTGTTAGCAATGCGGATTGTTGGGCCCAGTCCCTGGTCTATGGAATCAGACTCTCTGGGGGTGGAACTGGGAGTCTGCTGTCACCCAGAGTCCAGGTAAAGGGTGGACATAGCCAATAGATGAAGCCACCTGCTTCATTAGGGCTTTGGGACCACAGAGACTTGAATTGAGCCTTATATGCTGGTTTACTTGGGCAAGTCACCTAACTTCTCTTAACCTGGGGATAACAGACCATTCTGCAGGGATGCTGTGAGATTAAGTTTACCAAGTGCCAACACTCTACCCTACGTGACCCAAATGCGTCAGTAAACCTGAGAGACAGACCTAGGTATCCCTCTGCCAAGCCCAACTTGCTTCTCACTTCCCCTCACAGTCGACTGAGAAAGCTCAGCTCTACCCTTTTTAGGAAATAATTTGATTTGCAAATGGAGCTGTGATTAATTAATTAATTAATTAAATCACCGTGTGAACCCAGTGATGTTTATAAAAGTGGGCTGGGGACAACCTCTTGGGGCCTTAGTCTTTTTGCTTCCATCTCATTGAATCCTCTGGCAGCCCTGCCAGGTAGAAATTATCATTATCAAAAAGATTCCAAAAGGTTAAGGTACTTGTACTAGGTCATGCAGTAAAGTAGTAGCAGACCAGAAGGTTAAGGTCAAATTGGTCTGACTCCAAGTTGGAGGAAGGGAGGAGTCAGTGATGTGGGGGAGACTGAGGAGTAAGACTGAAGGTAACCATGAATTGGCAGAAGCTGGAGGTGCCTTTAAAATCCTCCCCCAAGTCTGAGACTCGGGGTGAAGGGGGGGGCTGAAATAGGCTAGCACTCAAATGTTCCCCGTCTTACCCCACCCACTCCAGCTTCCCCAAGAAGTCCAAGCACTATCAATGGTCAGGATCAAGCTCCCCTAGGCTAGCCAGAGCTCTCCACCCCTGGACAAAGCCCTCTCCTTCTTCCAAATCTTCCAAAGGGTGTGAATTCTTTCTACTTCTCCAACCATCTTCTCTTCTGTCTGGAAACTTGGGGATTCTTAGATGATGGTGATAGTGACAATATAGCTAATATTCATTAAGCATTACAACATGCCAGACTCTGTTGCAAGCCCTAAGTCATTTGTCTTCATACCAACTCTAGGAGGTAGAGATTAGTATTATCCCCATTTTATAGATAAAGGAACTGAGGTCCTTAGCTAAGAAGTGGCAGAGGCTGGATTTGAGCCCTGACAGCATTACTTTCCTTATTGCACTCCAGGGCAATGTTGGCTGCCTAGTAACAACAATATTAGCAATGATGAAAGTCTCCTGTACCGAGATTTGATCACATTACTACATGATTCTAAGTGTGTTCTGAGCATTAACTCCTTCGATCAGGCTGTTGAACACCAAAGCCTGTGCTTTAACCACAAGTTACAGCTTCCAAACATCCCTATAAGTTTTTTGAGATCCAGAGGACATAGCTTTGAATCCCAGTTACATGGGAGCTATAACCTTGGCCAAGATTCTGCTCTTTCTAATCCTGCTTTGGACTCCTGGTGTGGTACTGTGGGTTAATGTGCCAGACTGCAAAGCCATTTGAACTGCAAGATCGGCAGTTCAAGCTTACCAGCTGCTCCTCAAAAACCCTATGCAGGGTCGCTATAGGTCGGAATCGACTCACCGGCACTTCACAACAACAAACCTGCTTTAATCATACTTTGTATATATTGTCAGGAGGGACCAGTCACTGGAGAAAGATATCATGTTTGGTAAAGTGGAAGGTCAGAGAAAAAGAAGATCCCCCAACGAGTTTTATTGGCACAGTGGCAGCATCAATGGGCTCAAATGTAGCAACGATTGTGAGGTTGGCCCAGGATCAGGCAGTGTTTCATTGTGTTGTGCTATGAATTGGTACCAACTCGATGGCACTAACAACAACAAAAACAATCCTGCTTTTCCCGTGTGTAAAGCCAGACACTGAGAATGAGTTCTCCAAGGGTTATTGTGAGCATCAAATGGAACGTGCCAAGGCATGGATGAAAGTCATTGTAAAACCTTCAGCAAGAGTGAGGCTGATGCATATTCAAGAGTAAGCAGAATTGACCCCTGAGCCTAAACTGGTCTTACACCCACCTTTGCAGTTTCCCTCTCTTGGTGCCCAGTGCAGGCTCTGGCATAACCCGGGGGTTACAGCAGGTTTCACAAATTGATTAGGACTACATTGAGGGACTGAGGCTGATGTCCAAAGCATACAAATTTTAAAAATTGGCAGGTTTTGAGGGTCTCCAGTTGTCTTAGTTGGCGTAGCCAGAGTGTGACAAAGAGGGCAGGGGTGTGGCCACAGCCTTGTCACAGACCAATTAATTCCCTGGATGACTTTGGACGAGTTGCTTTCTAGTTTTCGAACCTTAGTTTCCTCACCTGCAAGATGTGAAAATAACCACAACTCACTTCTCCAGGGTGGTGTGAGGGTCTCACAACAGCAGAAACAACTGCAGCAACAAATCCAAGAGCTCAAAGCCTCGTGATTCTCTCCCACCTGTGGTCTTATCTGAACTCCCAAGAGCATGTGGCAGGGACCACTCTCTTCTCCCATTTTAAGAGTAGGAGCCAGCTCAGGAGGGAGAGAGATGGTGATGGATTTGATCTAAGCATTAAAGGATAGGAATGATTTGAATATGAACCATGGTAGAATGGGCTGACTTAGTAGGTAGTGAGTCACCCATCACTGGAGGAATGCAAGCCATGAATGGAAGAGCTTTTGCCAAAGATGTTACCGAGGAAGTGTGGACTGGATGAACCTTAAGATTCTTTCTGTCCTGAGAAGTAACACCATGGGGTGCTAGACAAACTGTGCTGACCAGATCAAGACAACCCACAGACTCCTTCCTAGTTCTTGAATTGAGAAGGGGCAGTACCATCCTCCTGCTAGGTCCAGCAACTTGGAGGACCCAGTGAACCAGCAGAGATGATCTGGCATGCTGGCAGGGACAATGACTTCAGGGCAGGCCAGAAGGCTTGAGATTTAGTGTCCTCTTCTATGTAAAACTAATAGTTTCTACCACACAGGGCTTGTTGTGGTACTGTAGATAAGCACTGGATTGCTAACTGCAATGTCGGCTGTTCAAACCTACCAGCCACTCCTCAGAAACCCTATACAGATCACTATGAGTCAGAACCGACTCAACAGCACTTTAACAACAACAACAATGCAGGGCTACTCTGAGGGTGTAAAGTGGCCACCAAATGGACCACGCTGCCCACTGCCCATTGCTGTTGAGTTGGTTATGACTCATGATGACCCTATCAGCACCCTGAATTCAGAAGCTTCAATGAATGAGAACACAATGAACACAATGCCAACAATCCTAAGCCCATACAGCTTGGAGTCCCAGCCCTACGTCAACCCCTGCCTACTTCACCTCCCATCACGTTGACTCCTCACCACCCTCTGGCCACACCAGCCTCCTTGCTGACCCTCAGCATCCTGAGCTCTGCCCTAACCTCTGGGCCTCCATCTTTACTATTCCTTCCTCCTGGACTGGAATACTCTTTTTGTTTTGTTTTGTTTTGTTTTTTAAGCTTTTATTGGGAATTGAGTGATCGTTTACATGAGAGAACATCAATGTTGTATTCATCCTATCATATCTTGTTTCATTATAATGATTGCAATCCCCTCCATGCATCACCATTCAACAGTATTTGCTTTTATTTCCTCTGTTTTTTGATATACATAAAAACACTCGGGCATATATAATAATTTAAACAACCAAAGGGCACATTCTGCAAGCCTGCCTCCTGGACACCAGCACACAGCCTTTCTCTTTCCATGAGTCTGGAGTCCTCAGCTGCTCTCTCTCTCTATGTTCTCATCTCTGCCTCCATCTCTAGTGTCGCTGCTTCTCTGGTTTGGGTCCTACATTCCGTTCATGCTTTATTCCCTTGATGGTCCTAGGGTCCTCTGTTCTCCAGTAATACTCTTATCCCAACCTTTTCTACCTTTCAGGTCTCAGACTAAACATCATTCCCCAGTGAGACCTCTGCGATTAGACGCCTTCTCTGGGGGAAGATATCCTTCATTAAAGCAGCCACTCACCCACACCCAACCCCAGCCCAGTTCTTTTCCCTCCCAGCACCCTTCACTTCTTTTGGAGCAGTAATCCCAACCTGTATTTGTTAGCATGTTGGTTTGTTGACTGCCTTTTCCTTACACTGTCGACTCCATTGGGTCAGGGGCCCCATATGTCTTGTTCGTACCTGAGTCCCCAGCACCTAGAACATATGAATGAATGAGTGAATGAATGACAGGGGCCCCCAAGATGGTAACCCTACCTCTTATCCCCCTGCAGGAGGCGGCAGAGACAGTGCAGTGATGAAGATTCCGTGGGGCAACATCCCAGCCCTGCTGTCATTGCTGCTCCTAGGTCTACTTGGTGTCTCTGAGGCTCAGAAAAGCTGTACGGGGCACCCAGCCATCCCTGGTACTCCAGGCATCCCCGGGACACCAGGCTCCTATGGCCAACCTGGGACTCCAGGAGTAAAGGGAGAGAAAGGTACTGTGGGTTTTGGGGGTGCACTGGTGTCACTGACTTTTTCCCTGTACCCTGCGTCTGCAGCCACAGTTGCCCACCTCAGAGATGGCATGTTGTTATTAAGTCCCATGGAGTCAGTTCCAACTCATGCTTATCCTACAACGCTGCAGCAGGATGCTCAGAGATGGCATTTCTGTTGTTGTTAAGTGCTGTCGAGTCGATTCCAACCCATAGCAACCCTGTATAGGGTTTCCAAGGAGCAGCTGGTGAGCTTGAACCACCGACCTTGCAGTTCAAACGACTTCGCAGTCTGATGCTTTAGCCCAAAGCGCCACACCAGGATGGCATGTTGTTGTGTGCCGTGGAGTCGGTTCCAACTCATAGCGACCCTGTACAGGGTTTCCGAGGCTGTAAATCTTTACGGGAGCAGAAAGTCTCATCTTTCTCCCGCAGAACAGCTGGTAGTTTCGAACTGCTGACCCTGAGGTTCACAGCCCGATTCGTAACCACTACGCTACCAGGATGGCATAAGCACCTACAAATCCAGTAGCCTCCTCAGCCCTGACAACAACCTTATAAGGAGGGAACACTGATTCCCATTTTACAGATGGGAAAGCTGAGATCCAGAAAGTCTACTGACTTGCCAAGAGAGCCCAATGATCATTGAGTCTGAAAACAGACCATGGACTCTTGCCGCTAGATCCAGGGCAAGAGAACTCCGTGGTGTTAAAGTCTCATGGCCCAGGGTTTGAATTCACTTCTTTGACCTACTGTTTCCTCACCTGTAAAATGAAGACAATAATTATTTCTCAGGGTTGCTGTGGAGTTCAAATAAGACCCACCCCCAAGAAAGACCCTCTGTAAACTGTAACTCATACATTTAACCCATGGTTATGGAGTGACCCTCTATGCCAGCCTCTCGACTCACTTTGATCTCATTCAATCCTCACCATCCCTCAAAACATCATTATCCCCATTTTACAGCTGAGGAAGCTGAGCCTCAGAGCACATGACTCAATCAAGGTGATGCAATTAGAAGCATACCTAATGTCTGTCCCCAGAGTCCATGTTCCCAGCCACTTTACTCTGTGATTGTACTGAAAAAAATGTGTATTTATCTTGTGTTGTACCAACCTAATTGGTGGGAAGGCCCACTTCCAGGCTCAGCAAGGAGTGCTGTGATTGATTAAGGATGTCTGCCCCAGCCAAGAAAGTAGAGAGGGATAGTAAATGCACTAAGAATTTATTATCCCTGCTCTAGACTTAACCCAGATTGGGATATATAGATAAGCTGCTAAGGCAGGCAGACCCAGTACTTCCCTAGGGAGATAGAACTCCTCTCCCCACACCTAGCAGTGTTGAGCATATCACAGACTCAGAAAGTCAGGCTAGAAGGAAACTCAGAGACCGCCTTTGACCTTCCCTATTTTTTCTTAGTTGGGAGACGGAAGCCTAGGGAGAGGTAGTCACTTGCCAAAGGTCCCAGCCAGGCTCCTCTGCTGCCCAGCCTTTGGTCCTCAATGATCTTTGGTTTCCTCATTTCTCTTGTCTCTGCTTTCCAGGGCTTCCAGGACAAGCTGGAGACCATGGTGAACTTGGAGAAAAGGGGGATCCAGGAATCCCTGGGAATCCGGGGAAAGTTGGACCCAAGGGCCCTGTTGGCCCCAAGGGATCCCCAGGACTCCCTGGGGTCCGTGGCCCAAAGGGTGAATCAGGAGACTACAAAGCCACACAGAAAATAGCCTTCTCGGCCAAGCGGAGCATCAGCAGTACCCTGAGGCAGAATCAGCCCATCCGCTTTGACCACGTGATCACCAACATGAACAACAACTACGAGCCCCGAAACGGCAAGTTCACCTGCAAGGTGCCCGGCCTCTACTACTTCACCTACCACGCCAGCTCTCGCGGGAACCTGTGTGTGAACCTTGTCCGGGGCCGGGAACGCATACAGAAAGTAGTCACCTTCTGCGACTACGTCCATAGTACCTTCCAGGTCACCACAGGTGGCGTGGTCCTCAAGCTGGAACGGGAAGAGACAGTGTTCCTGCAGGCCACTGACAAGAACTTCCTGGTGGGCATGGAGGGTGCCAACAGCATCTTCTCGGGGTTCATGCTCTTCCCGGATATAGAAGTGTAACCCAGGGGCACTGATACATAGCCCACCAGCCTGCACCCCACAAATAATATTCACTTCATCCCCCACACCTAACACTCCACCCCACTTTGCTGAAGAAATGATTAAATAAACTCTTTAAGGACAAGGGACAGTGGTCTGATTCAACTCCGTGTCCCAGTACCTGGTACATAATTGTTGTTGTTAGGTGCAGTTGAGTCTGTTTCAACTCATAGCAAATCCTATACCCAACATTGCCCAGTCCTGTGCCGTCCTCACAACTGTTGCTGACGCTATGTCAATCCATCCCATTGGGGGTCTTCCTCTTTCCTGCTGACCCTTCACTTTTCCAAGCATGATGTCCTTCTCCAGGGACTGGTCCAAAGTATGGGAGACAAAATCTCACCATCCTCGATTCTAAGAAACATTGTGACTTTACTTTTTCCAACACAGATTCATTTGTTCTTTTGGCAGTCTGTGATACTTTCAATATTCTTCACTAACATTATAATTCAAATGCATTGATTCTTCTACAGTCTTCCTTATTTATTGCCCAACTTTCACATGCAAATGAGGCAACTGAAAATACTATGACTTTAGTCAGTGCATCTTAGCCCTCAAACTGACATCGTCATTCTTTAACACTTTAAGAGATCTTTAGAAATCCTGAGTGCCTGCATGACTGTACAGTGAATGGATGAATGAGTGGATCTCTGAGAGCAGAAACTCCATCTATCTAGAAGTGACTTGAGAGCTGGACTCTGTCTTACTTTGTACCAGTTACATAGTTGGAGACAGAAATAGGAACATCTACTGAGTATCTCCTATATGCCAAGAAGGAGCACAGATGGAGTAGTGGGTTACTCATTGGGCTGCTAACTAAAAGGCCAGCAGTTCAAATCCACCAGCTACTCTGAGAGAGAAAAAATGAGGCTGAAATGCTCCCATAAAGACTTAGTCTAGGAAACCTTACGGGGCAGTTCTACTCTACCCTGTAGGGTGGCTGTGAGTCAGAATCAACTTGACAGCAGTGTGTTAGGTTAGTTAGACGCCAAGAACTGAGCTAGACCCTTTCTTCATTCTCTCATGCATCCTCACATTCCTCCCTGGAGCTGAGGTGTATCATGCCCAGTTTATGCAGAAGGAAACTGAGGACTGCCCACGCTCCCACAGTCAAGGGCAGATTGACTCCAGAGCACTGTTCTGCCCACTTTAAGACCATATGTCTAGACCAGCCCACAAAGAAGTTTCGTTGCTTGCAACTTCACACAACTCCCACACCCAAGGGACCAGTGTGTCCTCCTCCTGAATCTTAGCTGACCTTGGAGCCAGAACTCTTTCCCTTTTGATTCTCCCCATATGTTCTCCCTCTAAGTATCTTTCCAACCTAGCACTAGCCCAACCATCCAGTTAGAACAAATGTCACTCCTTAGCTCAAAAACCTTCAGTGGCTCCCTACTGCCAACTGGAGACAGTCCCAGCCGATGTGACTGACATTAAGGCTCTCTATAGGCTGGACTTCCAGCCTCACTCCCTCCTCTCCTAGAATTTTTCCACTGTAGACCAACCAAGTCTTCTGTCTTCTCAACAAATCCCATGTGCTCCTATCTCAGAGCTTTTCTTCCCACTGTTCCCCCACCTAAACACCCTCTACTTTGTCTACCTGTTGTTAAGAGCTGTGAGTAAGTTTTGACTCATACCAACCCCATATAGGATTTCTGGGAGTACCTGGTGTTGGGTTAGCAGTCCAGTGCTTGCCCTAAAACGCCACACCAGGACTACTTGCCAACCTAACCTTCCCTTAAAGCCAAATTCTAGCCACGCCTCCTCCCTGAAGCCCAGCCAGTCTGCACTCACAGCTCCCAACTCTTCAGCATCTCCTCCAACCCCACTTCTCACTTGTCCAGGTCTAAGCATGCACACCTATTTCTGGCTTTTCTATCACGCCCACCTCACCCAACATTTTCCCAAGCTCTTACCCCCACATCCCCTTCTCATTACTCCTCCTCATCCCCCACTAGGCTCTGAGCCCTTCACCCTGCTCAGCTCCGAACCGCACAGGAGCGCTCAATCAAGACTGGGCTGTGATTGGCAGAGACCACAGGCATAGTCCCGGCCCACACCTGTTCTCCGCAGCTCCACCAAGTTCTTGGACCAATCCTGACCTGAGGGAGGAAGGATTTAAGACACTCAAACATATAACAAACTGAGAGGATGCTGCTGGACTAGGTAGTGTTTCTTTGGTGTGTATAAATTGGAAATGATTCCATGGCACCTCATTAACAACTGTCACATATGGGGTCCTGTGGCACTGTGGGATAACCACTGGACTGCTAACCTCAAAGGCAGTAGTTCAAACCCACCAGCTGTTCCTCAGAAACCCTATCCATACAGGGTTGCTAAGAGTCTGAAGCAACTTGAGAACACTTAAAAACAACAACAACAAGAAATCTATCACACAGGATCCATCTTAACTTTCTGACTGGCTGACCTGTCTCTCAGGACTCCATTCATTGGCCCCAGCTTTTGCCCCTTTTCCTGGGCCTCAGTTCTGGTTGAGACTTGCCCCAACCTCAGATTCTCCATCCAGTACCCGAGTCTTTTCTTTAGGAGATACATCCACTTCTGCAGCTCGAGTCTTTAAACAAGTCTGCCTGGCTTTGAGTCTAGTTGTTGTATGCTGTCGAATGAATTCTTACTCACAGGAACTGTATAGGGCAGGATTAAAAAAAGTATAGAGCCCCATGGTGGTAGTGATGTACCTTAAAGACACTTCCAACTCATAGCGACTCTGTGTAGGGTTTCTGAGGCTGTAAATCTTTACAGGAGCAGAAAGCCTCATCTTTCTTTTGCGGAACAGCTGGTAGTTTCGAACTGCTGGCCTTGAGGTTAGCAGCCTGGCTGTAACCACCTTGCTACCAGAGCTCCTAGAGCCCCAAAGGGTTTCCTAGATTGTAATCTTCAAGCAGCAAAAAAAAAGGAAGACTGGATTTCATTAATTAGCATAGCGGCTGCAACAATGAGCTCAAACAGCAGTGATTGTGAAGTCTGCAAAGGACCGGGCGTGTTTGCCTCTGTTGTTCATAGGGTCACCTTGTGTAGGAACACACTGGGTGACACCTAACAACAACTGCAATATTTAAGGGTTGGAATCGTCAGATCCTTAACCCTTTCCCCATCTTCACCCCACCCTGGCTTGTGGCTGCCGGTGGGTTCAAAGCATTGACCTTTCGGTTAGCAGTCAAGAGCTTAACCGTTGTGCCTGTTGTTGTTGTTGTTGTAGGTGCCATCGAGTCGGTACTGACCCATAGTGACCTTATGCACAGCAGAATGAAACACTGCCCGATCCTGGGCCAACCTCACTATTGTTGCCACACTTGAGTCCATCGACGCTGCCACTTGGCCAATCCATCTTGCTGGGGGTCTTCCTCTCTTTCTCTGACCCTCCTAGTAACACTAATTATTATAGTAACACCCACAATGATTGTGCTACCATGTAACAGGCAGTATGCCTAGTACTTCACATGGGTCTGGTGCGTAGGAGACACTGGTGAACTCATAAATAAATGGAGGAATTTTACATGCTCACTACAATCCCATGAAGTATATAGTTGTTGTTGCTAAGTGCTGCTGAGTTGGTTCTGATTCATAGCAACACTTTAGGGTTTCCAAGGGGCAACTGATGAGTTTGAACTACCGATTTTGTGGTTCAAGCCAACCTATCTGGTCCAGTGCTTATCCTACAGCACCACACCAGGTACATAGTATTATTCCCATTTTACAGATAAGGAAGTTGAGGTTCAAACAGGGTCAGCAATTTGCCCAAGGTCACATAACTGATTGGGGCAAAGCAGGCCCCCAAGCCCTCAGCAAGCAAAGCCAGAGTCCTTTTAGTTGCAAGTGACAGAAATTCTGTCAAACCAACTCAGAAGAAAATGAGGGCTGTATCAGGAAGGTCCAGAGGAACCCCACAAACACACTTGTCACCAGACTGGGCTGCTCAGCTGGGTCTCCCCCAAGACCTCTCAGTTCTATGCCTCACTCTGCATACCAGCCCTATTCACTTTTAAGGCACATGGAAGCAAATGGATGTCCCCAAACTATAATCTTAGCCTCCCCAGCTAGCCCCTACCCTTCATTGAAGTGCCACAGAGGCCAACATCTCTGATTTCTGAATCCCAGGAGAAGAGACAATACCTGTACTTGTCTCTGAATCAGTAGAGGTCAAGGAGAGATAGAACCTATAATAATAATAATAATAGGTGATCATGGTTACTGAACTCAATACCTGACAACTATTATCCACCTATGGAGAAGATAGTCTAATCCAGGCGTTCTGAAACATTCGTGAGCATAAGAGCTCCCTGGATTTCTATTTCCTAAGAATTCCCATGTGATGCTGGAGACCATACTTTAAAAACTAGTGTTCTAATTTTCCCATTCTAGAGATAAGAATATTAAGGCTCTGAGAGGGCTAACACCATGACAGAGTGGCTCCAGGATTTACAGCCAGGTCTTCTTAATGTTTAAACTCTGCCCTAATGTCCTGGTGTGGCACTATGTGTTAATGTGCCAGACTGCAAAGTCATTTGAACTGCAAAGTCGGTGGTTCAAGCTCACCAGCAGCTCCTTGGAAACCCTATACAGGGTCGCTATGAGTTGGGACCGACTCGACGGCACTTAACAACAACAACAACAATAAGTAAACAATACAACAATGAGTGTGCTGTCTGTATTCTTGATTATTTTCTTGGCTTAAATTCCTAGATGTAAACTTGTTGATTTTGAATGATTTTCAAATGGAAGGATGGACTATCAGGGTTGAACAAGCTAGACCAGCTCTGGACTCGCCACCACCAGGGGGGAGCAGACACCAGAATAAAGGAAAGGAGATATAGTGGATAGATGGGTAAAGCAGTCTGTGGGTGCTCTTCCCTCTTTCCCCCCACCCCTGAAGATCCAAGCTCCTCTAAACCAGTAAACTTGAAGCATGGTCTCCAGACCAGCTGCTTCAGCATCACCTG